TATTGTGTATAAATATATAACAGTTAGTAAAAAAAGGAAATAAAAAAAAATGATGTTTTTTTTTTTTTTTAATTTATTTGCCATTCTTTTTTTACTTAGGTGTCAATAGTCATCAATGCGCAAACAGTGGAAAAAATCTGATTCCATACCGATACAATAAATTTTAGCTTATTATACATCATCGTTATCATTAATCATTGTGTCAATAACGATAATAATAATTATCATCATCATTATTACCATAAACGTCATAATAATATTATCATCATTCGTAATTATACAATAATTATTTATACATTATTCTCATGATCATCATTATCATCTTTTACGCGTGCTTACTATTTAAAATCATCCTCATCAGTACAAGCAAATATTTTATTTATTACTTACTCTCATACTTTCACACATCATAGTACATACATCCATATACATATACATATACATATACAAGTGCATTTTCGCCTGTTCGGTCAGATCGCGGCGCATAAAAACTCGGTTTAAACTTTATACTTGTTTTAAAATCCTCTAACGTGATTATTACTTAGAATAACTTACTTGTTATTTCGTATACATTTTTAAGGCGATGATTCAATCGTATGAACTCATTTTCTTATCAACGAACAGCCAATGTGTCGAGCGTACATTTTTTTTCACTCGTCTCTGTGCATGCCGATTTTTTATTCATTAATTACCAAATAAAATAAATTCTGTTTTTTACTTCAAAAATTGTCGGTCGATATTTTTATTCCGATGTTAATTTTAGCCGAAAAAATTCTCAACCCACAGTATCAATTGCACAAAATCCATCAACGCACTCTCGAAGACTAGCACCTCAACTAGATTCGATCGCTAAGTCTAATAACAATTAATCTCAAAAAAGTTATCGATATAAAATTATGCGAGACACTGATCAAGTTCCCGCGTAATATAAATTAAATGATTATGATTAGTTACAGTGAGTTGAGAATTTTAAGTTCATAATATTACGATTAAATTTTTTTTTTTTTATAAATATGACTGACAATTTTTTGAATCAATAGTTGAATAATATTATTCAAAGTTTCATGTCATTGAACAAGTACGCAAGAGTGAACTGTCAACAAAATTAAACAATCTACTGATCAACAAATACAATTCGTAAAAAATTATTATGTCAACTCTTGTTACTCGACAATAAGACGAAACTTTTTATATTTTTATTAACATTAAATTATTCAAATCAATTTATACTCCATAATTTTTTTAAATCAAAATTTTTAATTAATTTTTTCAGTTTTTTACAATTAAAAAAAATTCAAAAAAATAAATAATACTCACTTTTAAAATATTAAAAAAATTTTTTTTTTTATATTTAATTAATGAAACCTTTATTGTTTTTGAAACGATAAAAACAGTTGGATTTTTCTGTGAAAAATCTGAAAATTATTTTATAAATTAAAAAATTTTGAGTAAAATTTGTAAATAAAAAAAAAAATAAAATTTTGATAGTACAATAATTTTTTATTAGTTATTTATAATAATTAAAAACTCAATAATTAATTTTATTACAACTAAAATTAAAACATAATAAATCGGCATACACAATAACGACGACGACCCGAACGACGGACACGATTAACGCCAATTAATCAAAAAACCATGAGCGGTATTATAGATATTCGCACCTGAGTCTTTTAGTATACGTGGGTATCTGTTTAGTTCACTAAAGCGCTGACGGGTTTCGCAGAGTCGAGCGTTCTTGTCAATACTATAAATATCCAGATAAAATAATATACATGTATACGCGTAGACAAACACACAGAACAAAGAAGATAATCTGGAAAGAACACAATTCTTTCCATAAAAATTTGACTACTAAAAATCAGCAACATAAAGCCCGAAATGTGACTCTATGAAACCGTCGGCTGAAAACATTTAATTATATATTTATATTTATATTATTGATTCATATTTTTCATTAAAACTTTATACTAATAATTCCTGTCATGTAGGCGTATTGAAAATATCCATTTTCTCTGTGTACTCTGACATCATCTCGCCAACAAAAGTCGAACATCAAAACATAAAAACTATTTCTGAAGAATAAATTTTCTTTTTTTTTAATTTATTAAATTATTTATATCGATAAATAAATAAGCGAATTTTTTTTAAGTAGAATTTTTAAGTTCTGTCTATAATTTTTTTTTACTTTACGTATATCTTGATGCATGATTATTCTTATTTATTATAAATATAAATATACAAATATACTTGGATATCTTTGAGGCGAGAAGAAATCTGTTAATAATCTGATAATAATAATAATCGTTAATAATATTAAGGAACGGATTGTGATTGGGCAAATGTAGGAAATTTATCGGACTTGTATTGGACAAACACTAATATTATTATAATTATTATCATTAAAAATTTTCATACGTTAAATAAAATTTCGATATGCCGGTTTTTGATACTCAATTACTGATAAAATGTTTAAAACCAAAAAATCATAACCATTACACATAAATAAATAATTTTAAATTCGTAAAATATCCGTTGGATCGTTCGTGAATAATGAATGATGTTTTTGTACGTTCTCGAATAAATTTCGCCCAAAACATTTATTCATTTATTATCATTATCATCAACCATCAATCATTAACACTACTTTCACACCGCTCACTCGTACATAATATTAACACACTGCTTTTCATTTAATTATCATCATAATTATTAAAATGATAATCGCTCAGATTTAATATAAATTTTAAAACTCATTCTCTATAATTTTATATCATTCATCGACGCGTCATCTTTGCCTCGAGCTCAATTTGAATTAACTATTAATTTATACACAATATATTATAATTAAAATTACAATAATTAATTGATTAATTAATTATCCATTTATTTTATTAAATTATTTATTATTTCTAGGACGAGCAGTGTGGCTGCTGTTTCGTCTAGCTGAGTCGGACGCCGAGACGATCGAGAATTATTATTCCCTTTAGCCTTTATTTATTAATCAAGTAATTAATTAATTAATAACCGCTTATCCTTCATTTTCATTTTTATTACCATAATTATTTAGCTTTACCTTTTTATTAATAATTATCAATTTTTATGAATAATAATCATTCAATTTTTTATTAATCTACCCAAGCGTTCGCTTAGCTCTTTATTAAAACCGTCTATCATTTTAAATTCATCATTTTATCAATTATATATTACAACGAGAGGATCCTGCGTATTTATATTTATAGTTACTTCGGTTTACTTTATTTATTTATTAATAGTTATAATATCCATTATTATAATAATAATAATAATAATTCATCCATTATCAATAGTTATAATTGTAATAATAATAATAATAATTATAGTAATAATAATCATTATATCAATAATATTAATAATTAAAATTATTAATCTGTACAAATTTTAATGTCACCTAAGTCTTGAGAATGTCGACGCTCGGTTTAATATTTATACTATTAACGCCGAGTATGTCAATTATTATCAATATTCACCTCCATAATCATCGTTAATTAATTGATTGATTAATTAATCGATTTAATGATTGTTCTTATTAATTTTCTTTTTTTTTTTTTTTTAGATAAACTCAACACTCGAAGCGACCACGAGCGTAGACATATCTCGTGCGAACACCAGGTAATGTACATGCCCGCTAATTGCCTATATATTATTTATAATTAGTTGTATAGTCTCTCGATTGCGATAGTATTAAAATTAAAGATTTAATTTAATATCTTGAATCACTACAATATTACACCGCAATATTTGTACAAAGAACAATCACATGAAGTTTCCTCCCACGAACCGACACATCACTTTTTTTCGATAGTTTTTAATCTCGAAGGTTCAACATCGAAGCTTGCCAGATTGTAGCGCTCCGATTCTATGATGATGTTCCATTCGTGTGCAGATTTTGGATGAGTGAATGGATCTTATCATTGAATGTGACTCAGAATAGAAGACCAAGAATTGATGTTTATGTTTTAGGTCTATCTTGTCTCAATCTTTGAGATTTTTTCGGGTCTGGTAAATTGAGTTTTGGCTTGCTTCTTTTATTTCTTCATTCTCTTCTTGTGGTTTGTTTTAGTCGCTAATTTTTTATCAAGCTCTTGTATTTTTATTTCTCGATTTAACCAACTCCCGAGACGTGCGTCATTTCCGGTCGATCAATAGATACCAGGTTTCATCCTATTACTCCTTTTTTATTTGTTGTTTCTTTTACTTTGCTCACGGTGCTTTCCATTTATCTAGGCGTTCAACTGCAATATAATTGACAATTTGTTAATAAAAATATTGGCAGTTGATTTTTTTATTTTGACAGAAAATAATTTTTTTTTTTTAGTTTATTTCAATTTTATTTGACAAAAAATGATTCATTACATTGATTTTGAATATTTTTTTTATCTAGAAAATTTTTTAATTAAAACTACTTTAATATAAAATTAATATGAAAAATCATTACAATTGATTAAAAAAAAATTTGCTTATACAATTGATAATATTATTTTAATTAAACATTAAAAAAGAATTAATTGATTACAAATGACATTAAAAAAAAAAATTAAGTTTAAAGTTAATTAAAAAAAAAATTAATGATGACAAAGAAATTATTTTATGACAATATTAAACAATAAAAAAATGTATCTTATTACAATTTTGATTAAAAAAAAACTATTTAATTCTTATTATAATTAATATTAAAAATTAATTGAGCTATAAAAAATTTTCTAAATTCTTCTATTATTTTTATTACTTAGATTGTCTGATGGCTGACGAAATTCACGCTTTTTCACTTGAAAATCTATTGCCTGTAAAAAAATTGATTGTAAAGTAAATTTTCGAAAATTATAGTAAACTATTTAACGAACAAAACTATTAATTACAATGAAAATAAAAATTGAGATAAAATAAATTTATCTGTTAATAAGATCCATCGGACAATCTTGTAAGTAAAAAAAAATGAAAATAATGTACCTTTATAAGTGATGGCCGTAGTATTCTGGAGGATAGTGATACTGGTTGTGGAAGGTGGGGTCACCAGGGGGTCGGTGCATCATGCTGGCGGCTTGTCCGTCCATCATGTAACCCATTGTAGCTTCTGGACTGTAAGCCCCGCTTGGACCTGCGGACAAAGGCGGAAACACTACACGTTATTACGGTTAGAACTCTGTTCCATAATTGGCAAGCGAGTATGCGACATGCTCGTCAAGTAACTCTTTTTGCGCCACCCACTCGGAGGCACTCACTTGACGAGCTGTGTATGTGTGTAAAATAAATAATAAATAAATAAATGAATAATAAAAAGTCGATAAAATAATCTGTCATTTCTAAATTTATAAATGTTTTTAATTCCAGTTTAGCTGTAGAGTCCAGCAACTGGATCGAGAGAGTAGAGTTATGCCGGAGTGAAGTAGAGTGAAAAAAAAGTAAAAGGAGCAGCTTTCCTCAATCGATCCTCGACTCTGTCATCGGCAGGGCGGTAATGGAGCCGGCCGTCCGCATTGGGAGGGGAACTACCCCGGTAGTTTTAATGTTGGTATCTTAATGTATATTGCCTCGATAAATCAAGGGCACTGATTGCATCCCACCCTACTATGCTCACTGCCGACGCTAGACCCCAGTGTTGTGTACTGCAAGGGCAAACAGACGAGTACAAAGGCCAAAGAGAGATAAAGTGTATTGAAGTTAAAGCCAAAGGAGGAGGTGAAGGAGGTTCAGATGGAGGTGGATGGAGATCCTGATGGAGATGAAGAGGAAGGGGCCAACCGGAGAAGAGATATAGCCATTATGCAACGGCTCCAAGCCTTTCTTATGCTAAACTCCATCAATCGTGATCGACTCATGCTTTTTTTACTCTATACTTTCGATATTCCCATCCCACTCTGAATAAATTTATTACGTACTCTTTTATTGTATTATATCGATATTCTTAGATTTTGTAAGTTCTGTGTATTATCTCGAGGTATCATTATAATGATAGTTGTAATTATATAAAGGAATTTATGTACTTGAGAAAAAATTTTCTGATAAGGCTTGATACGTTCATGAATAATTTTTAATATGTCATAATATGACTTAATATGTCTATATGAGGTTTGAAATAGTTATAAATAATTTTTTTTATTAAAAGTAGTGTGAAAAATTTCCAACAGAGGGCGAACGGTCGCTAAATCTTCTCATTACAAGAGAGATAAATTTTAGATACTAAGTTTTTAGATGAAAATGATTTTTTTTATTGTCTTAAATAGTTATTCATGAAAATTAGCCATATATGGTCATATTAAAAATTTTTTTCATGAGTAATAAGAGATGGATTATTAGCCAAGTAAGCATGCATGATTATTTAGCTTAAAAAAATCTCTCTAGCGATGATTAAAAGGGCAGAGTTTCTAGTAAAATATAGAGCCGATGCAGTGCCGTTTATGAAAAACATAAAAAGTATAAATGGAAAAAAAGTAAGTAATAAGAACGAAAAGTCGTGCGCGTTTAGCTTTACCCACTCTACAGGGACCGCGACCGTAAATCACAATTATTGCCAGCGTTCCCTCCCTTAAGAGTGTTTTTCAGGAACAATCCATGAGACTATATAGTTTCGTAGCTATTTTCTTTTATTTCTTTTAGTGTATCTTATAAGAATAGAGGGTCCGGTAAAAAGAGGAGGAAAAAATAAAAGTTACACCGAGAGAAAAAGAGAGAAGGAAATAAGAGAGCTAATGGTGGATGGTATATTCCTTTTGCTGGAGACTAAAAGTATCCGGAGAAAAATTACACGGGTTTCTTGAGTGTCCGCTATATTCTCTTCAGATCACGCTGTGGAATGTAGTCGCGTATTATATGGCCACTTGTGAGCGTTATTCGCTAACGAGAGATGTGCTTGTAGTGTGATTAAGCCTTGGTATATTGCGCACCGGGGGTCCGGATTGCACTGCTAGTATTATATGGGAAATTAAGGAATTTCATTGTGGGATTTATTTTAACCTTTTATTATTTTATTTTCATTTCATTAGGCTTGTACTTTTATGATATTATAGTGTGGGATGACTGATTACTGCGATGAGTTTTAAAGTTCATGCAATTAGCGTTTATGCCGTTATTTTATAAATAAATTTTTTTTTTATAGTATTGTTGCATCTTTTATTACTTTAAGAAAACAATTAAAATTTTTTTTTTAATCACATTTTTTTTACATTGAAAATTATTTTCTTAAAAGAAAATTTTTAAGAAATGTCTTTTATAAAAATGAAAATTTAATATTGAAAAATAAAGTGTGTGGTTTTAGATTTTTAAAGCTATTGAATATTTAAAAAGGCAGTACACGTGGCAATAAAGAGTAAGATGGACAGGAAAGTGAATTGGACACGACCGAGACGAGGAGACAAACCCCAACACTACACTAATAGAAGGACAACTCCAGAAGGATAGGACAGGAAAAACAGAGTGTAATGCAATAAACTCAGTAAAACATTTTCCTCTTGTAGGGCTTGATCCCGGTTTTCTCAATTTATCTGTAGCCTTAAAAATGAACCCTTGGGCCTTCGAATTGAACCTTTAATTCGTCTGGTCTGGTATCCGTATACCCAGCCCCGGTAATTTATTTACCAAGTGAGTGCAAGCTGCCGGTTAATTGCCGAGTGCTAAACTCGGAAAAAGCACCGGTGGGATATTTTAACGCCGAAATTAGGGTGTGTGAGAACGATAAGATGATGGGAATTTTTACGGTTCACTCAAGCCGGTATTTACTGAAATAATGCGTGGTAGACGTGCATGGGCATTGAAAATGTAATTCTGAAGAACGATTTTCGTGCGTGGAATGAAATATATTACATAGATATAGACATAGAGATGGATTCCAGGGCGTAGAGAATGCCGAATGAGAAAAGCCGAATTAAAGAAAAGAAGATTCATTTCGGGAAAAGCCAAGTTACGGTAATGCATTTGCCAGCTGGCGAACAACCGACCAACAGTATTTACTCCATGTGGAGGTACGCCAACCATTTTAAAATGCTTTCACGTGACAACTTTACATCTGAATCCCACCAATTCCCTGTCCTCACTTAGCTTCAAGCTTTTATTTTATTTTTATTTATGGATTTATAAACTATGAAAGCTAGAGATTTTCACTGAATTTCGATGTAGACGCAATAAATCTCCCGAAATCTTGTTAAAAGTATCTTTCAACTTTTGGATATAATCAATAAGCCGCCTGAATTATTGATGAGAGTTATAATTAAATGAAAGCTACTTTTACCCTTTTAACTTTAATAAAAATTAAATAAAATTTGGGCTTTGTTGATGCAACTTAAAAATTTGTACGGTAATTAATTAAAATATAAATTAAATTAAGACATAACAATTACTTCAGAGTTTAATAAGCCAATTTGGAACAGCTAATTAAATTTTAAAATTAGATAACACAAAGAGGAAATCGGATCCTGAGAGAACACCAGCGAACATGAGAACAACATTACGCGTAACTTATGGCTGCGGCTTGGCTGGCATTAAGAGGAGGCCACGAAGAACCGGCAAAGGCACCAGCCGGTGCTAAGTAAGTGTAGCCAAGTCAAATCATGAGAGCACAGCCTCAACTCTGTGTTGTATGCGCTTACGCTGTGCAGAAGGATTTCAGTTAAAGATTCAAGCCATCGTGTGCACTCTCAAAGTTAGTTGGCGACATACCGACTCTGTGTTTTCCTTACACTCTGGTGCTCTGGTCCAAAATTGGCTCTCTCCCTTACATTAGTTCCCCCTCCTCCTTCCCCCATGACTCCTCTCTCCTTACTCTTACGGTCTACCTGTCTTAATCTCTCAACTCAGTTCACCTAAACCACGCGAGTTTCGGAGTTTCCTCGAGCTGGATAACTAGACTTGGGTTTTGCGAGTGATAGATACCAACAGTCTAGATACCTACTACCAACAGCCATCAGTTTTCGGGGAATAAGAGTAGAGTTTACTAAACTTATAACATCTTAGACTTAGACTTTAAGCAAACTGTTGTCGAGTTATTGTACGTTTAATTTTCCCCGCGGCGACTCGCTAAATTGACGGTTTAATTACCGGGGATAACAGAGTTGTGATAAGGATATGCTCAATGTCGGCGTTGGGATCAACTAATGTAAGATATAAGATGTCTTGTGATAAAACGCCTCGAGAAAGATCTTTGTTTTAGATTAGACAGCCTACAAGTACAGTGTCGATTAAATCATAACCGTTAGTCACCCTTAAATTTATACTGAGAGATATTTTTCAGCTAAAAATAAAATTTTTCATTTCGTGTTAAGTTTCAATAAAAATTTTTAATATCAGAACTATATTGATAATTTTTACAAATTATTTTATCGTTAATAAATTCATTTAAAATAGTAGTTTTATAAATTAATCACAAATTTTATTCTAATTAATTCAATGAAGAATTTTCTAATTCTGTTTTTTTTTTTCTGAAACTTTTCGATAAATAATAACCGTGTGTTTGTTAATTTAGAATAAAATTTTTTTATCATTCTATAAATTAATTATTGAAACTTGATAAGTTTAAAAGTTTCGACTAAAGTAACCTCGACGTTTTCCCATTCCAAGATTTTAGTTTTCGATACTTTAAAATTAGTCTTTATAAAAGTTTGAAATTTCATTACTAAAAATTTCAAACTTCCTAATATTTTTTTAGTTCAGAATTTTTTTTAATTTAATTAATTGAAAAATCATGTACATCATTATTTCTCCTTTAATTCTATTTTAAACAGTCCTCGAAAATGATGATTAACCATAAATCAAACAGAACAATTATCCAAACATCCAAAGCTAAATTACGTATAAAAGATCCCTAGATATAGCACGGTATATTATATAATGTAACAGTAAGTATAACCTACTACTAGAGAAAGGGTCTAGGGTAATATCTTCCAGTATCATTTACGCAAGGCAATTTTGAGGCAGAGTAGTAATACCGAATAGAAGAGGGAGCGTGATGGGTGACGGAAGTCGTGTAGCCCTCATCCTCTTGCTGAGAATATTCGCCCTGCTACGCGACTACAAGCTACGACTAAAGCTTGACGGAAAACGGAGAGCGAGGATGCCAATGAACACGACGAGGACGACACTGTCAGCCCCCGATACCAAGACGACGATCCGCCGTTGCGGAAAACGGAAATGTGCTCCGGAAGCTTCAACAATCCCTCGATGAAACTATTGGTCATCCGCGACGCAATACCGGATACACCGGATCTCATAATTCATTCTCTATCCTAAAGCTTTATTCGACCCTGATTGTCTCAATGAATACGTCTCCGTCTCTATCAATGTCTACATCTGTACCTACTGTAGGTCCTACTAAGCCTAAGTCTGCTCTCCTAATCCTGATTCGATCTCATTTCATCTTATCTGGCTTCTGGTTTGTCTTTTCATCTGGTTAGTTTTTTTTTTCTAGCTCAAGCTTCATTTATGTAAGAGTTATTACCGGATTCCAGAAGTCCAAGGCTCGTTTCTCAGCGACCCCACAAGGAGCCATTTCTGTCTATGTCCCTGTCCGCAAGAAGTGTAACCAGCAAAGCCAGTATTAGTAAGCACCGTGATCCCACTGGGTGATTTAACGGCAGCAGTGTAATCGCGTGAATTTAATCAATCAGGTATATACGTTGCTTCGGCTCCCCGAGGAGGCCAGACGAACTGAGAAGCAAGCTCGCTAAAAGCTCCGCTAAGTCCTCGGTGTTATAGTTGAGATAAACCTTCTACATCAGCCTTACTTTTCATCAAAGAAAGTTGAGTTACATGAAAAAAACTACAAAATATATTTTTTATCATTTAATAGAAGGCAAAAAAGTATTTCAAAAATGATTTGACTTTATCGAGATTCGAACCTGATTCTTCTATAAACAGAAAAAGAGTTCAATCTTCTGTCTATCGGGCCCATAACCTTTAGGTGAAAAACATTTAACTTACTTTAATCACAAAATTACTTAATTTTCAAGTAAAAAATTACAGCCCGGAAGTAACTTTCCCGTAAAACATTTAACGTGTATGATAAAGCACGTTGGTACTGTCCTAAATTTACAGACGTCTCTCATACTTTATTTCTCCTTACTTTACCCAGCATACTATACACTTTTCACCATTTTCGCGTTTTCTCAGTATAGTACAGGTTTACGTTTTTTATTCTTATTTTAACTTCCACTTGTCCGCTCTTACAAACCCCGCTCGGCGTTATTCTATCTAGGTTCTTCTACAACCCCCGTGATATATCGCCCCTTGGAGGTCGATGACTTCCGCTATTTTTCTTCCGCTGTCTCCAGCAACCAACTTGCCCTTCCCAAGTTACCAATAGAGCTAGCTAGCTAACGCTTCGTTCTTATATTCCACTACTATTTTTGCTCCACAATCGGCGCACTACTTTATCTTATATATGTATATATTTTTGGAAACATATCTATCCTTCTGGTGAATAGCAGTTGAATAGTATCCGGAATCAATGCTGACCACTTCACTGACTTTTCAAAAGTTTTCGTTTAAGTCTAAGTATGTATAAGTAATTTTTACTACTTTTTTAAAACTTTCTTTTATTTTATAATACTCTCTTGAGGAAAAATATTTGTAATAAATTATTTTTAAGAGCTTTTTTAGTTTTAAAAGTTTAAATTATTGATTTAAGATATCGTTTTGTAGCCAAAGCACTTACACTTGACCTCACATTTTTTATTTTTATCCGATAGATAAGTTTGATCTAAATCTTTGAAAAGAAAATCATAATTTATTAAATTGTTTGATAACTATAATTAATAAAAAAATCATTTATGAAAAAGTTATGTATAAAAAAAAAAATTTATATTCATTTCATTTTTTGTCCATTAAAAAAAATTTGTTGTACTACCATATTTTGATAAATTTTAATAATCATAAAAACTTGAACAGAGAATTAAATTTTTTCATTTTGTTAAAATAAAAGAAATAAAACAATTAAAAATTGAGACCCTAAGCAAAGGAATGTGAAAAATAATTTGTTTTCCCGTAAATAAACGTCGCAATAGCAGACAGACAATAAAAAGTTGCTACATTTATGGATGTGTATCTCTTATTAAATAAAACGTACATTAATTTTATTCCGAAACGGCTTTGTCAGAGCATTTAAGCCATGAATATTTTAACCCAGTTCTTCAGTCTACATTTTGTATATAATATACATTTTTTATCCCCTTTTTAATCAACCGTCACATAAATACATCAGAAGTTCACCAGCGGGTACAAAATGAAATGAGATGAAATTATATTACGAGTACCTATACTATACTAGCCTGTCTAAGGAAAGGGGTGTAAGTATATGTATAGCATGCAGTACCAACCAGAACTGGATAACTGGAGAAAGAAATGAAGAATCGAGAGCCTGAGGATCTTGAGACGCGAGAAGATTGACGAAAATCCATCAGCCGGTGGACGAATCGAACCGAACCCGACTCTCAGTCAACTCTTAACGTTGACGCGATAAATAATTAATGATTGAGAGAGAGAGAAAGATGGATGAGAGCAGTCCATAAACCACTTAATATTTATAAGGTATGAGGAGCCATATATATACATATACACATTTATAAACATAAAAGCCACTTGTATATTGGGCGGAGTGAATGATAAAAGCAAAAGAATCTTTCGAGTTTATACTTATAAGGCTTGCGCGTATAGTATTTAGATATTTTAATTAACCGATCGGCTATAAATTATGATAATTGAGGGGGGCGCCTCCAGCTATTCATTTTTGCTCTCTATCAAGAATACAAACAGCCTGGTATGTACTCTGATTGTCATTCGTGACTCCAACTTATGCCTAAGGCATATTGCTTGGGTCAGATTTGGACTAAAGACATAGTATAGAGGTACAAATACTCAAGACTTGATATGATTGTGGAATTTTTTTGGCGAATTATCCACTAACTTAAAATTAACAAAAAATAAAAAAATTTTTTAATTATTTTAAAAATTTTTAAGATATTAATTTAATAATTTTCCTAAAAATGTAATTTTGAAAATTAGAACTTTTAGAATGATAAAAAAATAAATTTTATTTGTTACATTTTTTGATAGAATAAAAATCTTAAAATATTGAATAAAATGGGATTAATTTCCAAATTTACTCAAATAAAATAAATTTATTCACAAAAAATTAAATCCTCGCTAAAAAGTTTGTTAAATTCGATGACTAAAGTAAAATGAAGGAGATAAAGGCGTAAGATGAGAAGAGGGTATAAACCTTTGGGGAAGGTTACTGGTCAGAAGATGAGATAGAGAGGGCCATTACGAGGCACGAGGCACGATAAGATAGGTCCACCCTCTTATTGTGGGATTCTAAGAGCCCGAAGCCCGAGGTTGATACACCGGACGCGATCTCTCGATGAAAAATCTCGCTCCTGCCGGAGATCATTCCGAGCTAGAGGAGCACCGTCCTTACTTCAGTGTCCAGTCTTCTTATGGTGTCTTCGCTACATATATACAGATATACAGATATTCACTGGTATACAAGGAGCTTCGAGCTTATCGTTTGATGGCGATCGTGAGCGAGACTCTATTTCCGCGGGCAAGCCCACCACGAATAGCCACCAATTTATTTATATAGTCTTCCCACTGGTGCGAGAGAGACGGAACCAACAACCGTATACTATCTCTCTCTCTCTCTCTCTTCGTGGACGATACTGATTTCTGGTTCTCGTTTACATGTATGTATAGGTAATATCTACTATAGTATGTATATCTATAGGTAGGCCTTCCATAGATATTATTGGACAGAAGATGGGTTGGAAAATGAATACTGTCTTGCGACAACAGCCACCAGCCAACGGCCAACAGCCCGAGACCATTCCCACGTCAATGGAGGCGATAAGTCCATGTTTGTGGAGTAAAGTATACAGATCCAGGAGACATAATATTTTTGGTCCCTCTTTCAGGATATAAACACGTGAAGAAGCTCTTCTGGTTGGTCTTGTATGTATGAAATGTGTGTGTTTCATATGTGGAACGGTAATGGGGACGAGACGCAATTTCCTGGGTAAGCCCAGGTCGAAACTCCTGCTATACTCTTTTACTTTTACTGATCGCGTAATATCCTCCACATCGCCTCAAATATCCATCCGCACGGTATAATGATAACAACAGTGAAATATTCTATAAGTCGGTCGTTTGTATTCGGAGACGTGGCCAGGGTGCCCCATTTCAATTAACGTATGATCTATGCCGTACAAGGATCCAAGTGGCAGCACCTTTCAAAGCTAAGTTGTAATGCGCTGGGGATCGGCACTCTAAGTAACTCTACATCACTGCTACGTGACGTGAGTTTCGGACACAATATTCCATCGAGGGGTTAAGGGCTGCCAAATAACAAAGAACTATAACGTTAGAAAAATGTCCTTTTTCTGTCGATAACCTTTTATCCGCTTAATATCCAAAGTTCACCCGGTAAATCATTTTATTATGTGATTTTTCGATAGATACATGCATTATTTTTCTACACTGAGAATCTGAAATTTTGGTATAAATATGTAATAGGTGATATTGCTGAATCAAGATTGTAATTCGAATAGATTATTGAATTATATTTTTGTTTGCGCTAAAATATTGTGAATTTTGTATATTTTTGTAAGACGTTTGATTAATCTAATTGATTCTCAAAAAATTTAAAATAATAGTGCTTAAAAAAAAATTCATGACGTTTTTTTTCTAACTGTGAAATAATATTTTTTTTTTCTTTATAATTACTCTATTCTTATGATAAACTTAATAAAAATAATTTTCTACTTTTAAGTTGATTTTTAAACTATAATTTATTGATTTTTTTGTCGACACCCTTTTACCCGCCTAAAATTACATCGAAAGTAGACTACACCGATAAATCAGTAGTTTTTCGGGCATGCATTATAGTTTCCCAGCTGAAAATTTAATACCCCGAGTGTGGGCAGAGCTATTCCGAAAGAGTCTCTAGAGATTGGTGAAAAGGAATGATCCTTTTCATTTTATCTAGTTTTTCTTCTGGTGGTGTGCTGTTTGGACTTCTCTAAACGAGCTGAGTAGTAGTCACAGCAGGAACATTGCTCTCCGGCGCAATTTCTCCCAATTTCTGACCCCGGGACATCTATTTTATTTAGCTCAAAGACATCGAGACCGTTAAAGTTTGTCTGTACGTATATACACTCGACTCTGATGGTGGTGTGTGAGTAGAGGGTGGTGCGGGCGCTCGGTAGCTTTACGGTGATATCCCATCAGCGTGGTTCAAG